GAGCTCGTTGGTGTTCCAGAAGAAGCTGTTGGAGTTCCGGTGGAACGAGTTGGACTGCTTGTGAACGGCGTAGTCTCAGAGCTCGTTGGTGTTCCAGAAGAAGCTGTTGGAGTTTCTGTGGAGGGAGATGGGCTGCTTGTGAACGGCGTAGTCTCAGAGCTCCTTGGTGTTCCAGAAGAAGCTGTTGGAGTTCCGGTGGAAGGAGATGGACTGCTTGTGAACGGCGTAGTCTCAGAGCTCGTTGGTGTTCCAGAAGAAGCTGTTGGAGTTCCGGTGGAACGAGTTGGACTGCTTGTGAACGGCGTTGTCTCAGAGCTCGTTGGTGTTCCAGAAGAAGCTGTTGGAGTTCCGGTGGAACGAGTTGGACTGCTTGTGAACGGCGTTGTCTCAGAGCTCGTTGGTGTTCCAGAAGAAGCTGTTGGAGTTTCTGTGGAAGGAGATGGACTGCTTGTGAACGGCGTAGTCTCAGAGCTCGTTGGTGTTCCAGAAGAAGCTGTTGGAGTTCCGGTGGAACGAGTTGGACTGCTTGTGAACGGCGTTGTCTCAGAGCTCGTTGGTGTTCCAGAAGACGCTGTTGGAGTTTCTGTGGAAGGAGATGGACTGCTTGTGAACGGCGTAGTCTCAGAGCTCGTTGGTGTTCCAGAAGACGCTGTTGGAGTTTCTGTGGAAGGAGATGGACTGCTTGTGAACGGCGTAGTCTCAGAGCTCGTTGGTGTTCCAGAAGACGCTGTTGGAGTTTCTGTGGAAGGAGATGGACTGCTTGTGAACGGCGTAGTCTCAGAGCTCGTTGGTGTTCCAGAAGACGCTGTTGGAGTTTCTGTGGAAGGAGATGGGCTGCTTGTGAACGGCGTAGTCTCAGAGCTCGTTGGTGTTCCAGAAGAAGCTGTTGGAGTTTCTGTGGAAGGAGATGGACTGCTTGTGAAAGGCGTAGTCTCAGAGCTCGTTGGTGTTCCAGAAGAAGCTGTTGGAGTTTCTGTGGAAGGAGATGGACTGCTTGTGAACGGCGTAGTCTCAGAGCTCGTTGGTGTTCCAGAAGAAGCTGTTGGAGTTTCTGTGGAAGGAGATGGACTGCTTGTGAACGGCGTAGTCTCAGAGCTCGTTGGTGTTCCAGAAGAAGCTGTTGGAGTTTCTGTGGAAGGAGATGGACTGCTTGTGAACGGCGTAGTCTCAGAGCTCGTTGGTGTTCCAGAAGACGCTGTTGGAGTTTCTGTGGAAGGAGATGGACTGCTTGTGAACGGCGTAGTCTCAGAGCTCGTTGGTGTTCCAGAAGAAGCCGTTTGAGTTTCTGTGGAAGGAGATGGACTGCTTGTGAACGGCGTAGTCTCAGAGCTCGTTGGTGTTCCAGAAGACGCTGTTGGAGTTTCTGTGGAAGGAGATGGACTGCTTGTGAACGGCGTAGTCTCAGAGCTTGTTGGTGTTCCAGAAGAAGCAGTTGGAGTTTCTGTGGAAGGAGATGGACTGCTTGTGAACGGCGTAGTCTCAGAGCTCGTTGGTGTTCCAGAAGAAGCTGTTGGAGTTCCGGTGGAACGAGTTGGACTGCTTGTGAACGGCGTAGTCTCGGAGCTCGTTGGTGTTCCAGAAGAAGGTGTTGGAGTTTCTGTGGAAGGAGATGGACTGCTTGTGAACGGCGTAGTCTCAGAGCTCGTTGGTGTTCCAGAAGACGCTGTTGGAGTTTCTGTGGAAGGAGATGGACTGCTTGTGAACGGCGTAGTCTCAGAGCTTGTTGGTGTTCCAGAAGAAGCAGTTGGAGTTTCTGTGGAAGGAGATGGACTGCTTGTGAACGGCGTAGTCTCAGAGCTCGTTGGTGTTCCAGAAGAAGCTGTTGGAGTTCCGGTGGAACGAGTTGGACTGCTTGTGAACGGCGTAGTCTCGGAGCTCGTTGGTGTTCCAGAAGAAGGTGTTGGAGTTTCTGTGGAAGGAGATGGACTGCTTGTGAACGGCGTAGTCTCAGAGCTCGTTGGTGTTCCAGAAGACGCTGTTGGAGTTTCTGTGGAAGGAGATGGGCTGCTTGTGAACGGCGTAGTCTCAGAGCTCCTTGGTGTTCCAGAAGAAGCTGTTGGAGTTTCTGTGGAAGGAGATGGACTGCTTGTGAACGGCGTAGTCTCGGAGCTCGTTGGTGTTCCAGAAGAAGCTGTTGGAGTTTCTGTGGAAGGAGATGGACTGCTTGTGAACGGCGTAGTCTCAGAGCTCGTTGGTGTTCCAGAAGAAGCTGTTGGAGTTCCGGTGGAACGAGTTGGACTGCTTGTGAACGGCGTTGTCTCAGAGCTCGTTGGTGTTCCAGAAGAAGCTGTTGGAGTTTCTGTGGAAGGAGATGGACTGCTTGTGAACGGCGTAGTCTCAGAGCTCGTTGGTGTTCCAGAAGACGCTGTTGGAGTTTCTGTGGAAGGAGATGGACTGCTTGTGAACGGCGTAGTCTCAGAGCTCGTTGGTGTTCCAGAAGACGCTGTTGGAGTTTCTGTGGAAGGAGATGGACTGCTTGTGAACGGCGTAGTCTCAGAGCTCGTTGGTGTTCCAGAAGACGCTGTTGGAGTTTCTGTGGAAGGAGATGGGCTGCTTGTGAACGGCGTAGTCTCAGAGCTCGTTGGTGTTCCAGAAGAAGCTGTTGGAGTTCCGGTGGAACGAGTTGGACTGCTTGTGAACGGCGTAGTCTCGGAGCTCGTTGGTGTT